CAGCAGCTAAGCAAGCACATGAAGGAGCTGTAGGCCAAGCTGTGCAAGGATCAGCAGTGCAGGTGGATCAAGCACCAGGCAGCAAAAGGTTTGTTGCTTCCATTTACATCAACCAGCCACTAATGTACTGTGAGATGCACAAGCAACTAACTAGTTATTCACTTGTAGGAGGCTAGACTTGGATGAACTAGTGCCATTGGAGATAGTACCAGCAGATGAAGCTACAGTAGTGCAACCAGCCAAAAAAATGACCCCAAGGAAGAAACAGCTAGCTACTAAGGTGAAGAAGGCAACACCAATAAAGGCTGGCAACTAAGGCATAACCACTGTTTGAATGGTTGTTCTTTTGTATGTATTTTGGAGACAGGAACTCCAATGACCAATTATGTATGGCTGTCATGGATATGTTATGTATAGGATGGACCAGTTATGTATGGCTGTCATTGCCAGTATGGACCTGTTATGTATGGACCAGTTGTGTATGGCAACTATTGAACCTAATAATGGATTAGCTTGGTATGCAAATTTCTATCAATTTCATCATCTTGTTGGCTGTCATGCAATTTTTGGCTGTTGTCATGACAAAAGAACCATTTGATGCAACATACAATAGGCAACAATGTTCAGCATACATTTTTCCATTGCATTAATATGTTCAGCATACATTTTCCTACTACTGAGAACAACCATTCACTTGAACACATACATTATGGCAACAATGCATACAATAAATAACACTAAAATCAACATCTTAAGAAAGAAATCAGGGCATCCATCTTGGCTTCCATGCTGTTCTTCCCAGCACACTTTGATTGTGCTTCTTCTTCACCAAATCCCCAAGCTTCTTCTACTTCTTCTGCACCCAGGCCGGCTTCAAGATCAATGACAACAAACTTCAACTCCACCAACTTCTTCAAGTACGCTTTCTGGAATTCATAGAACCTACATCTACCAGCCATCTACAAAATGCCCAACAGTTAGGGTTCTTCAACCAAACCCAAAACCAAGAAAAATTCAAAATGAATCAAGGAAAACCCTTACCCTGGGCACATTTCTGGGACACTTGAAGAACACGCGTCCCTGTTTGCCATTCTCCGTTGTCCTCACTATCAGCTTGATTACCCTCTCTCTCTGCATGTGGGATACACGATCAGCGGGAGCCCAGTCTCCTTCTCGGTGTCTTCCTCCTCGATAGCCCACGACGCCATGCTCCTTGACGAAGAGGGCTTCATCCTCCAAGCCATGGGGTGCATGGGGGACAAGGATCAACTAGGGAAATAGGGTTTAGGGGAGTGCGGGTAGTACCTAGTATGGTCGTCCTGCGTCCAAGGACGGGGAAGGAGACTCGATGCCGCCGCCGCCATGTCCGCCATAGCCGTCGTCGCTGTCGCCAGGAGTGGGGAAGAAGGGGGAGTGGACTGGGTTTGACTCAGGGCTGGGCCGGCTAGAGACAGAAGAAGGAGGCGATGGCAGTGTGGTCATTTTGCGTGCCAAGTTAAGGCTCCCAGGCTTCCTGCTACGCTGGCATGCCATCTCAGCAAATATGGCAAAAACGTAGGAGAGTTACTGTTTACGATGGCAAATATATAGGGGCACACACAAACGTGTCAAACGAAGGAGTGCTATGATGATAAATTTGTAGGGGTGCGCACAAATGTGGTAAACGAAGGAGTGCCATCCGTAAGGATGACAAAAAGTTAAAAATCCCCTCTCTATTCGTCTCTCTCTCTCCCCGACGCCCGACGTCCTCTTGGCAAGGTCACCGCACCCCACTGCGCGCCCACCCACGACGCCCCACCGCGCTCCTCCCTGCGCCCCACCGCGCCCACCGCACCATGGACGGTGGCGGGAGGCCCTCGGCACGGTGGCCTGGCACAGCGACCCTAGGCGCGGTAGCGCTGGCACAGACGGGCCCTGGTGCGGCAACCCCGGCGTGGCAGCGACGCGGATCCAGTGGCGCGGTGACCCCGACGAGGTAGGCCCTCCTCCTCCTGGATCTAGGGTTCCGGCGAGCTTTTCTCCTCTCTCTCCCAACTCCGATCCAGCGTAGGGAGGACGGCGCAGGGAGGCCGACGGGACCGTGTGGAGGTGGCGCGGCTGCGTCGGGCTTCGCAGAGAGGACGGCGCGGCTGCGGGGAGGCAGCGTGGCTGCGTCGAGCAGCACGGCTACGAGGAGGCGGCGCAGCGGCGAGATGGTTGGGTTCGCGAGCTCACCGACGAGGAGGTCCTCCACTACATCGCGGCCTGAGGCATTCGCGAGTGCTCACAAGCTCGCCGACGCGAAGGTCCTCCACTGCATCTCCACCATCGGTACCAACGCTGCGCCTCCATCCGCTTACGACTCGATAAATCCCCACCAGTTCATACAATCCTTAGTTGAGATGCTGCTTGATTCAAAATATGTAGGCGATTTTTTCTATTCGTTTTGATCTAGGGGAATATATTGTGCTAAATAAAATGTGCTAGTTATAGTATTTGTCAGTTTTAATAGGAACAATATACCACACATGACTGTTCAATTTTAATAGGTCTTCTCGTTTTCTCCTTTTTCAGACACTAGGCAACCTATTTTCATTGTAATGAGATTTACGTATAGATGAAGGCCTATGAACTTTATAGATTTGCTCTTGTTGAATCAGCACAGTATGATGAAGACCTATGAACTTTATGATGAAGGCCTATGAACGTTAGTATGCAATGAACATTATTGGTTAGAGCTGACTAATAGATGCTCTCATGAATTGGGGTTTTTTCATCTGGTAGAGGTTTCTTGTCATTTCTTTTGGCAATTAATCTTGAATCCTTGGATTTGTGCCCAGTAGACTAGTTCTTGAAGGAGACCTGTAGATCACAAAAAGTGGAAGGGAACTGTTCTTGAAGGAGGAACCTGCAGATCCGTTTTTCTCCCTCACCTGGTTAGGACGATTTGGAGTTCTTGATTTTTTTTTCTATTCCCTCTCATGTGATTTGAGCTCAGGGTTATCTTTTATCCATCTTAAAATTTCTAATATGCGATAACTTGTTTTTGTACATGCTTTTCGGCAGATTAGTGGTAGCTGCTCCCTTCTGCTTTTGTTCCCCACGACTGTGCCCAGTTCCAAGAAACAACAGAATGCCTCTGTGATTTTCAGGTATGGCTTTGGATCACATCAAAGACCAATTCTCTTAGCAAAAGCAAAACTGCAGACAGAGTAAATAACACATCTAAAATCGGTGACCCTTGCAATTAATAAATAGGTTAACGACTGAAACTTTTAATGTTTTTACATCCTCCAATAAGTGTGACAGTCCCAGATGTCCGCTCCTCATGCATATTGCTTGGTTCAGCATATCTAGTTGCTGCTATCCTTGTCCTTCCAAACAGGATGGATCCATTTTGGCAGCAGCGGGTGATGCATGTGCTTACTGCTGGGATGTGGTATGCATTTTCTTAAGGTAAATGCTACCTATAGGAGTCTTGAACACACATAGAAGGAACTGCAGTTCTGCTTTAGAGTCTTCATCAGTGTTTTGCTTGAGGAGGTATCTGAAACTATTGCTGATCATGGCTGCTTCTCTCAGGAGACTGGTAAATGTAAAATCACATTCAAGGGGCATGCTGATTATTTGCACAGCGTTGCAGTTCGTGAGTCAAACCGCCAGGTTATTTGATTATGTTGGTTTTCCATTATTTGATATTTATCTTCTCTATATTATGTACCATATGTGATATGGCTACTAACTGATTTATTTTTTTTGGTCAGGTTGTAACAGGATCAGAGGATGGGACAGCTCGTATCTGGGGTGAGTGATAGTTTCAAATCCATCATTTTTTTTCTTGTCATGTGCATCACATGTAGCTTGATTTTCTTCCTTTATCTGAATAGTATAACAGAAATTTGCAAATTCAGCACAATGTTAAGAAGTTTACCTGTTTATTCTGTACAAAAGAAAAACATGAACATGCTCTAGCAGCCTCTGTTCTACTGACTATTTGTTAATTTCTTTTTTTTCCCTGCACATAAGATCTTGTTTACCCATTTTAAGTTAAATATTTATACTGTTTATTGCCACTTATACTGTCCTAACAAAAGATAGTTTTTCCTCATGTGGTAATGTTATTAGTAGGCGCTTAATTGTGACCATGTTGGATATGATTAAGTCCACTTTTGGCCCCTCAACTATAGGGTTCGTCTAATTTTAATCCTCAATTACAAAACCGTCTAGTGGTGATAACCCAACTGTTAAAACCGTTCACTTTTAGCACCTGGACGCGGGCAGGGCTGTTTTGTCCTACGTGGAGCGGTTTTGACCGCGCCACGCTGGCATTGACCGCCACGTAGGATGCCAATCTCTATCTCAGTGACATATGGGGCCCACTCATCACCTCCCTCTCCTCATAGGCTTTGCCGCCGCGGACGCTTGCGTCGCGGGTGGGGCAGCTTCAACCACGGACCTCCTAGTGCGACCGCCATCCATGGATGAAGGGGGATGACAACGAGGAAGAGGAAGACGACGTGCTGCCGCCGCCAGTCCGCATTCGCTTGGGCTCCCGTGTCGAGTCCGTGGACGACGGGTCGGCCAACGCCACCACCGGCGAGGGGATCGACTTCAGGGCGAGGTGCTGCTGGACGAGTCGACGGCGGGCGGGAGATCAAAGTAGCCAGCACCGACAGCGGCGCCACCTGTGACGGTGGACGAGGTGGACGCGAGCCTGGGCGCGGACGGCGAGGCGATGGAGCGGGGGCTGCCGCGGGTGAGATGCGGCACGAGGTCGTGTGCGAGGTGGATGGGGAGGTTGGGTGCGGCGGCCGCGGCAAGCGAGGCGAGGAGCTGGAGCACGAGCGCGGAGACGTGCTGCTGGTGGGCGGCGCCAGCGGAGGGGAGGCGGAGGGGGAGAGGTCCTTGTGGAGCTGGTGCGTGGCGAGCGGGAGCAGCGAGAGCGTGGCCGGGTGGAGCGAGAGGGACGCGGCGAGGTAGGCCAGGCGCTTGTGGGCAGGTGCGGCGAGGCGAGGAGCTCGATGGCGGCGAAGGCGAGCGGGTGGGAGCCGACGGGGGCGAAGTGGAGCGAGGAGAGGTAGGCGAGCTTCTACAGCGCGACGGACTTGGTGGCGGCGTCGGGGGCGCGGATCTCGCGGTAGATCTCGGAGAGCGCGCGGGCGACGGCCGTGGCCTCGCCGGCGGCCGATGGATCGGCACCGAGGGACTTGACGAGGTTGTTTAGGGAGCGTTGGAAGAGGGTGTCCACCAGCGACGGCGCCACGGCGGGCGCCGGCGGGGTGGAGGCCATCAACAGCGGTGGCTGAAGTGGAAAAGGACAGAGAGAGGATGAGTGATTGACATGTGGGCCCCACATGTCACTAAGATGAAGGCCGATGTCCTACGTGGCGGTCAATGCCAACGTGGTGTGGTCAAACCCGCTCCACGTCGGTCAAAACAGCCCCGCGCACACCTAGGTGCTAAAAATGAACGGTTTTGACAGTTTGGGTACCAACATTAGACGGTTTTGTAGTTGAGAGATTAGACGGTATTGTAGTTGAGGGGCCAAAAGTGGACTTAATCCTTAATTATAAGGAACAGATGTAGTCATTCTGAAGTAATGGAGCCCTTGCATTTTTGCTGCAGTGTTTCTGAAAATAATAATTACAACCATCTCATTTTTAAGTGGTTGTTTATACAAACTTTTGTGAGCCAGTGGCCCAATCAAACTATACTTTATTTCCCTTTGACGACTTGACTACATTTCATTACTGCCGTAATTGGCATGGTGAATTTCCCTAGCAACAGTTCTGATTATCTCTTCACATATGTATTTTAGAATCATGCCATCAATCCCCAATTTCTCAGCATCCTATATGCTACTGTCGTACTGATCAATATTACTGATTTGAATGTGTAGCAATCTAGCAGACTTGATTAAAGATATCTGCAATTTCATATTGATTAGAATCATGCCATCAATTTCTCAGCATCCTTTATTACCTTTATTGAATGTTTCTTTCAGTGCCATATGAGTGTCTGTGTGTCAATTAGACAATCGTTGTTCCGTTTGTCTTGATAAACACTTGAATCATAGTACGAATGATACAGGCATGCTTAAGACACCACACTGTGCTGTCCATGACGATTTCTTTATCAATCACAACTACTAGTGTCGGCACAGGAGTTTTCCTTCTCTACTTGGTGCTTTACTGTCTGTGTGTTTGGTAACTTGCTCTGCAGCTGACTACCAGAATGAAGCCAAAGCCGATGATGCACTCGCAGAGGCAATGGACTTGTCAAGAGGGAGGATCTGATCATCACAACTAAGGTAATATGAATTACAGAATGCTACCTTTTGTATTCTACTGTAGGTTTTTTTTTTGCCCCACTCTATTTCATAATCTTCATGTGATTGAAAGTTTGAAATCTGTTCTCATTGCAGCTGTGGAACTCAGACCATGGCCATGTGCTTGACGCCTGCAAGGATAGCTTGAAGAAGCTGCAACTAGATTATCTCGATCTCTATCTTATTCACTTCCCAGTAACACGGTGGTGATCCCCATGACCTCCAAGGCACAGTAATACATTAGCACACCACTTTATATACCTTCACTCATTGGGACATGTTTGGTTTCAAGCAGGAGCAATTGCAAGTGAGGACAGGAGCTTGCATATGTATGTAACTATGATGTAAACATGTGAGGCTTTTTATCTCTCTTAAAGCGAGCAATGCAATCTGGTTACAAATGTAACTATGTATGTCTGCAAGATCAAAATGTTTGGAGTATATAGTGTTAACGTGTGCTCTTATTGGTTCATTCTCGAATGGATTGTGTCAATTTTATATTGCTAGCAGTTCCATATGGATAGCTTGACTTTGGAGGCATTTCTAATAATGCCTCCATTAATGTTTGAAGGCGTTGTACAGAACGCCTCTAAATAGTATTTTAGGCAGTCAGAAAATACCTTTAAATGTTGATATTAAAAGGTATTTTGAAAAAACGCCTCAAAAGACCTTTTACTTCCATGTTTTAGAAGGCGTTTTAATAAATGCCTCAAAAGGTCTTTGAGGGCGTTTTGATCATTTTTTGAGGCATTTGTAAACGTCTCCTATAATGGGACGCGCTGTAGTATAAGTTGCCTAATTCGCACCCTCATCGGAGAAAGGTAGGCAAGTGTGTGGATGGAGTACTGACGGCGAAGCAATTCGTTGAATGGATTTGAAGTACAGCTGAAGGTTGTGGATGACAAGATGAGCGCACGTATCAGAGAAACGTGTCAGGCAACGTACGGAAGAACCATTCCTTCGATCTTTTAACATTATTATGTGTGTATATATAGAGATATAGAAATATACCTGAATTGAACCAGCAGACTATCTTAGTCGTCAACTCATCATGTTCAAAAAGAAAAGGTCCATGCAATTGGGTCTCTTTATTCTCCACTAGTTAGCTACGATTCTCGGTGTCTACTACCACCCCTAATCTGATTAGACAGCACAATATTCCGAAGCACTAAAACAGTTCCCCACTAACAAGACGATCATATACTTTTATCAGACACTTTTAGCTAAAGTTTTTATGTTTCGAATAGTTTATGTTATAGCCCATAATGTTGACTGTTGCGTAGCACAATTCTTTTTAACGCTGTCATCCACATATAATTGCGTGCACTTTTCAAATTAATGTATATGCTATTCATCCCACTAGAGGTAACAAGGATTTTAGATACTTACAGTATAATGTACAATTTTGGCAATAATGACTTTTCGATGTTTAATAACAGTACCTAAAATGCTTGAAAATCCTACACTGGAGGTATTCTTCATGATAGATCAGATGAAATCATTTCATGTGATCTTGTGATTGCTATTTGCATAAATACTTCTGTATTATTGAGGACAGAGACGTTTTGTTAAACGACAAATTAAACTAGAGGTACCGCATGATTCTTTGGCTGCATGCCAGAAAAGTTATTAGTCAGAGGCATCATGTATGGTTTCTATCTGAGGTACTGGACTCCTGGTGCTCAGCTTGATGGTTGTCCCATGTCTGGCCATCAAACACCCTGCAGATCCCTGACCAATGACCGCCCTTGTCCAACTGCATACACAAATTAGAATTCCTTCAGGCTTGTGGAACCCACAAGCACCATAGTTGTGAGCAACCAGCATCCACTCAAGGCATGCATTGCTTCATGAGAATTTCTCTTCTCATCATAAAAAAGAAATATATGTATATACCATACCATTCTTACACCCAAGGCATGCAGTTGGTATACACCAGCAAATACAATAATAAAGAGGGGGACTACTTGCATGTCATGTACTGGTACAAGTCAGTGGCTTTAGCCAGCTTTAGCTTATGGGGCTAGCTAGTTGTTAATCAAACAGGCTGAACCAGCAAGTCTAATGATGACAAGACCCTCAAAATTCCACAGGGAAAGCTCTGACCAGCCCCTTTAGTCTACCTTTTGTTTTTTTAATAAACAGCATTCCTGCAAAAGGGACTCCACTGAGATGCACATACGCAGCTCATATCTCAGGGAAACAAAATAAATGACAATATATATATATATATACAATCCATTATTTTGTCCACTAAGCCAGTGCATGCCCTCCTCTTAGTTCTTGCAGAAAAGCTCGCACCTGCAGGTTCCTTTGTGTCCAAACCAAGGAAAGGCAGGTTCCTCACATCTCCGGCCATATCTGCTGCTGCTCCCCAAGCTTTTTCCTCTCCCTCTCTTCAAGGTAGCTGGGGCTGCATGCTTCTCGCGAGCTAGCCATGGAGCCCAGGAAGTCGAATTATCTTGTCGCCCTCGTCTTGGCGTCGCTCTTGCTCTCCGCCATGGCAGGTTAGCGTGCTTGCTGGTCGTTTTGTTGATCAATTCAGGTCATGTCTGTGCTTCTTTTCCAAGATGTTCTTCGTTTAAACTGTTATATATATTAGAAACCCAGTTCTACAAGATTTGTGTGATAAGATCTCGCGCGCGTGACCCATATATACATACTAGTTTGTCCTTCAGTTTCTGTAGTGATTCGTTGAGCTTTTGCTTGCTGCAGGAGGGCATAGGAAGAAGCTTCTGAACAAAGATGAGGCATCAGAATCAATGGTACATAACTATATATATGTATATGTATGTATGATCCAGCTAGCTACAATTCATATATATTCTATTTGCTCTTGTATATTGATCAACTATATATAAGCATGTTATTATCATGGCATTGCACAAAAGCGAATGCAAAAAAGTTGGAAGAATTTCTTGAAAGTCTTCCGAGTATGGGATGAATTATTAGTTTTCTTCTCTCTGTAATTTTCCCCGGGCCCGTCCTCTCCCTCTTCTTCTCAAGAGCACGGCATTAGAACATGCAACACGTTGACTAGGCATAATCAGACGTAATTTTTCAACTCCAAGATGGTTTATTTCTATACATTCCGTGCATTCCTATAGTACAATCAGTTCTATTTGACAGGTTAGCGCGGCCGATTTGTATAAGTTTCACTGTCAAATGGATACTAGCTAGAACTCAACTAGATCCATATATCTATCTTGGATATAGTGATGCTTGATCACCAGAATTGAACTTTTTAAACAAATCATGGATAGCAGCTACTGTATGGATATATGAAAGCACTTTTTTTTTGTCAAGTACTCTGTCTGTTCCAAATTATAGTCCGCTTAGGTTTTGTCCTATCAAATTCCAATTCTATAATTTTGACCAAAGTTATTTAGAGGAAATGCTTCAACATTTATAACGTCAAGTTAGTTTCATTGTTTTTTTCACATGACCTATGCTTTGATAGTGAATTTATTTGAACTCCTAGATGCAAATACATTTCTAAAAACTAGATCAAACTAGAGAAGTTTGACATGGGAAATAACCAACAATAAATGAACTACAATTTGAAATGAAGGGAATATTTAGACATCAGTTTATCTATTGCACGTCTGCAATAGTTGTTGCATGCAGTTAATCTCGATCGAGGATCGTCGCACTATATATATTTGCACCCTAATAATCTCGCTGTGTTCTCCTACCAAGTAGTGGCTAGCGTGTAATTGTTCATGCATGCATGGCAGGAGACATCGTCGGAATCCATGCAGCAGCTGCAGGAAGACGACGAAATGGCGGTGGTGGTCCACGAGAGAATTCTCAAGCAGGTGAAGATGAACGACTACGGGAGATACGACCCTTCACCGACCATGGCTAAGCCTCACTTCAAGGACATACCCAACTAGCCAGCCCACTATATATATTGAGATATATCCTTGAATATGTATGTTATGCTTGCTAGTGTCGCTCCTCCTTATACACACGTGTCACATATATTTGTCGAATAAATTCCATGTATCATCACCATGTGACTATATATGTCCATGTGCATAGTTCCACACGTACTACGTACTTGTGTTGATATATGTGCATGTGTGAAGTATGTCTGAAACTTATTATCAGTACTTATGGGAGCTAGTAGTTTGAAATCGAGTATATTTGTGTTGTAATTTAATTGACTAATATGACTGTTTACTAATGGCGCCGCCAAGGGTTCCTACCTAAATAAGTGTTGGACCTAGAATTTTATGAAGGGATGTGTACCACACTAAAATTTTCACATGCAGTTCAGTAAAATTCATTTAGCAATAATTCGGTAATGATCGTATGCAAGTACTAAATAACATAATAAATCTTAAATCCAAGAGTTAACTTTAAAACTCATATAAATTACAGTACATGATACATCTATTATCTATTATCTATTTACTATATAAAAGAGCGAAGGAATTAAAAATGACCTCTTACCCTGATGTCTCCTATCCACCTTAATTCTTGTCTCTTAGATCAACTTTAAAATCAGATCCAACGTATCTAAATCTCCCACCCTGTTCTAACAAGCGGGCCCACTCGGAACACTCACTGTCAGATCGCACCAAAAGCTGGTCAAACCACCAAGCACCCTGTAGTATCCCAACGAAGGCTTTTCTCGCCATCTTTTCTGTCTCTGTTTTCAACCATTTTCAAACCTTTGAAAACATGCTAACTCCAAGTGTTGTCCTGCAAGACAGCCACCATCTTTAGCTCAAGTTAGCATTTTCAAAATATTTTCACGAAGGTTTCCAAACATGTTTTCAAACCACTACTCGATCCTAGCACGGATGCAAAGTTAAAGCACTCAAGTGGCACTAATAACCATTATGCAAACAAGTTTGCCCCTCTTGATAGTATGCCTATCTATTCTAAATCCAGTCAAGCACTTCTCTACTCTACCTTAGACTAGTGAAATGAAATGCCCTACAAATATACATTTGCCTTGTGCATTCCATTCCATCTTGTGGCCCTATTATGGTGATGCTCGCAAGCATCATCCAACCTCCATATTCCCGTCACCATCAACATGATGAACAATGGTCATCAACATGTTTGGCTAACCACGCCACATTGACTATTATTCATAGCAATGAAGCTCCTTCATCTTCACTCTATCAAGCCACTTGGTATCAACACAAGTTTTCACTTGGCCTAATCTCCATGAAATGATATGATTCACTTCATAGCTTCACATGGCCTTCTCGTCCATCAACCTTAACCTTGCTTGCTCTTCACCGTTGCCTCAGTCCATCGGCACCAAGCCCTCTACTCGAACTTCACCGATGTAAGGAAAATGGACCTCGGCCCATTTAGTTCGGATTTTGGTATTTGATGATCAACATGACCAAGCTAGACTAACGTATTTGCAAGTATTTATTTTATAGTGCAATAGGATGCAAATGCGGATTGAACCAAGTTTGGAACATGAAGAATATGATCAACACTCAAAGGAAGACGCTAGAGGATGTGTGATCAACCTAGAAGTGAAGCTAGGAGTCCAAGACGCGAAGATGAAGAAGCCCGGAAGAAGGATCGCGAAGAAATGAACAAAGGGCAAAACTGCAGCTGGCACCTCCATGTACAGTGCCTAGCACCGGACAGCACTGTGTGCACCGGACAGGGGCACCGCCCTATTTTTCAGCACGCGACACACTTTCATATTTGAGGCATAACTCTTAGCTTCGAACTCCGATTTGGATGATCTTGGACTTTTCGGAAAGCTAATGAAAAGCTCTACTGCCCTGAATAGGTCGTCTTTGGTTTTGAGCTGAAGAGGGCACCGCCATGGTCACCGAACTGTCTGGTGGTGGCACCGCCCTAATTTTCCAGAGAGCACCGTTTTTGGGGGTTTGGCCTGGGTGGTCACCGCCACCCCTAGGGCGGTGCACCACCACCCTATGTCCGGTGCCCACCTGTCTAACGGCTAGTTTGAAATAACCATTGCAATTTGACCGTTGGGGAACCGCCACCCTATGTCCGGTGCCCGCACGTTGCTGTTCGGTGACAATGCAAAAAAGTGGATCTCATCTCCAACGGCTAGCTCTACACTTGGGGGCTATAAATACCACCTCAACCGGCCATTTGGAGTATGAGGGAGCTGAGGGAAGATAGGAGGGTGTTGCCACACCTTATTTGTGCTCTCTACTTGCATAGGGCTTAAAGAATCACTTGGTGATTAGCGTAGGTGCTTTGCGAGGCACTTAGGTTAGTTAGACCACTCTCATATGCGCTTGCTCTAGGCTTAGGTCTAGTTACTAGTGAGGTTTGCATACCTCTCATCCAAAGGTGCTTGTGCGCACCGTGCTTATACTCGGCGGGGCTTGTAGTCTTGCGAGACCACACCTACCGCGTTTGTGGTGTGGTCGCCACCGTGTACCAAAGGGAACAAGGCATGTGGCATTTCAGCCAGAAGCTTGATAGTGAAGATGGCGGGGAGCGGTCTAGGAGAGGCTGGCCGAAAGGTAGACCGGAGGCCCACTTGCATGTGGGGAAGGCCCGGGGCTATCCATAGAGTTACCCGATCGGAAGCTTGGCCCTTGTGAGGGATTCCTTGCGAGGGGCTCCAACGAGGACTAGGGAAAAGCTTGAGCGCTTCTCGATATCTTTTGCATCTTTTTCTCATCTTTACCTTTCGCATTTACATTGCTACCTTGATAGGCTAGTTGATAGGATTGGTAAAAATACTAGAGTCGTCGACGGGAGTTTGCATCTTTTCCTCATCTTTACCTTTCGCATTTACATTGCTACCTTGATAGGCTAGTTGATAGGATTGGAACCTAGGTTGCATAAATCTTTTGTTGTAGAGATAGCAACACACCTAGCAAAACCATAGTTGCATATTTAGATAGATTACTTTCTTGTATAGGTTTTGACTAGGTGAAATTAGAGGCCTTAGTTAGAAGTAGAATTTTAAGTTGCCTAATTCACCCCCCCCCCTCTTAGGCGTCACGGTCCCTTACAAGTGGTATTAGAGCCAGGTTGGCTCAATTTGGACCTTTGGCCTCACTGTTGTTGAGCCGACGATATTTATAGTGGTTGGGATGGATGCCTCTAGGCCTCCGCACTTTGACGGCACTAACTTCCCCTACTATAACGCTAGAATGGCTTGTCACCTTGAGGCAGTAGATTTGGGTGTTTAGAGAGTCACTCGTGACGGGATGAAACCCATTAAGAATCTCGATAAACCCTGTAGGATCTCGGGTTGGCCTAGAGAGGGTGAATAGGCCTGTCAAACAAACACTCAAACTTTTATCAAATTCACCCAGCGGCATTGCCGCTCTAGAGGGCAGCACTGTCGGGCCAGAACAGCGGCATTGCCGCACCTACAGACAACTTTGAATCATATTTCAAAATCCATGAACGAAAACTTAGATAGGAGAAATTTCCTAGCTTACTGTAGGTATGACAATCATAGATCAAGAGCTAGAAGTGGTAGGAACACCCCACACAAGTAGATCGACTAGAAACTCTAGAAAACACCTCAACCACAATATGTCATGCAAGTAATATGAATCAAGCACAAGTGACATAAAGATTTATCCCGTGGTTCAGCTCACCACCAAGGCTTGCCTACCTCCACGTTGTTGAGGTTAGCCACTAAGGCTTAGGGATTTCCAACCCTTCCTCGTTCTCAAGTCAAGAGACTTAATTCTTGAGATGAGGGGTGAGTTTACTAACTTCAAGAGATGGTTACAAACCTCTCGGGGCTGCCACACAAGTTGGCAAGCTCCACGGCCGACGCTCTAGCCGGCTATGAGCCAAGTTCCAAGAGTAACAAACACAACCACCGGTCAAAATGTGAACCAAGTTCTCTTTAGAGTTGGGGAATCAATGGAGCTGCTCTCTAATCGAGTTTTGGACCCTTTTCCTTCAAGGATTGATGGGTAAATCAATGGATTTGCTTGGGGCTTGAGGTCAACAATGGAGGGAGAGAGAGAGCTCCTGCTCTATTTTGAGCGTGCTGAAGTGAGGAAGAAGAGGCAAATTACTTTTGGGGAGGAAGGGGAAAGGTATATATACCCCCCAGCCCCCAACGGTCACCGCACCCAAGGGTTTGGGCGAGACTAAGCCCGTGGCCTCGAGGTCGGGTGAGACGGAGCCCGCTTCCTTAGGGTGGGGCGAGATGGTGCCCGCGACCTTGGGGTCGAGCGAGACGGAGCCCGCAACCTTGGGGTCGGGCGAGATGGAGCCCGCACCCAAGGGGTCAGGCGAGACGGAGCTCGCGACCCAAGTGCAGCAGTGCCTCTCTTCAAGTGCGGCAGTGCCACACCACGCAAGACAACAAGGGTAATAGTGAAGTGTAGACTATCTTGACTGTGAATTTGAGGTGTGGTTGTTTGAGCACTTGGTAGCACATATTAGCTTAAGCATTGTGTCCCCCTTTATAGTATGGCTTTTCCTATACTAAAATTCAAAATATAAAAGAATTTAAACCTCCTTTGAGTTTGAAGCCATCTACATTTGTAATTGGGGGCTCTTCCATTTCGTGTAGCATCCTCAAATATAAATTCCCTGCTTGTCATCTCGATAAATCTCATTAGTTCTCTAATTGCGTGGTCATTATCACCAAAACCCACAATTAGGGCTTGATTGCACTTTCAATCTCCCCCATTTTGGTGATTGATGACAACCCAATTAGAGCTTACAAAAGATATGAAATAAATACTGAGATTTTTGAGCCATGAGTGTAGAGCCTCCCCCTAAGTATGTGAATAGATAATTGAATTCTCAAATTGGCATAAGAAGCCAAGATTCATGTTTTAGTGAAAGTGATGAGGCTCCCCCAACATCCATGCTCTTGTGGGGTGCTGCATACTGTGTCAGGTATGTAAAACGTGATGCAAATCACAGTTTATGCACAACATGGTTTGCT